AATAATAATAATAATAATAATAATAGTAATAATAATAATGATAATAATAATAATAGTAATAATAATAATAATAATAATAATAATAATAATAATAATAATAATAATAATAATAATAATAATAGATAATAATAATAATAATAATAATAATAATAATAATAATAATAATAATAATAATAATAATAATGATATTAACAATAATAATAATATCAATGATAGATAATCATACTTTGAATACATCCTTGATGATCATCATTATACATTTTCTACAGTACTTGAAAATGATGAATAAGTGGGACTTGAATTTTTGTGATTTATCCTTTATTTATTCATTTTTTTCCCTCTGTTGAAGTAAAAAGGAATATTATAGGTGTATACATATGTAAAAAGAAAATAATAAGAGAGAAAGAAGGAAAGGGAAAAAGAGAGAGAGAGAAAAAAAAGGAAGGATAAAGGAAAAACGAAAAGTTCATGTTTAGAATTTAAGCTATTTTAGTTAAGTATACTTTTGATTAAAAAAAATAATATGGTAGATTATTATTTCGAACTATCCATCTATCCCAAATACTAACTAACCATCATCCTCTTAAGATAAATATTGAACAAATTCTCATCCTTCTTCTTTCTTTACCTTTTTTCCTCTCCTCTTCCTCCTTCTCCTCCTCCTTTTCCTCCTATTTCCTCCTCCTCTTCCTCCTCTTTCTTTTTCTTTTTCCTATCCTTCCTATATAATCTTTGTTGAATGAAACTTTTCCTCCTCCTCCTTCTTTCCTAAAAATCATACAAAACGATAGGTGCTACTCGTCATATCTACTACTACTACTACCACTACTACTACCACTTACGATTAAATGGCCACTTGTCCACCCCCTCCTCTCTTCTTCCGACACTTTCATCCCTCTTAACCTCCCATTTTATTCAAATCTTTTCATTTTTCCACTTCAACTTCATCCTCTTCAATTCATCCTATATATTCCTCATCATATCATCATCATCATCATCTCTCTCTCTCCCTTTCTTTCCCTCCCCTCCTCCCTTTTTCATTCTAATTCATATACTCATTTTATCGATGTAGTGATGAAAAAGGGTGGAGCTAAATCCATGAAATGTTATCAATTGGTTTAAAAAAAAAGGGTGGAGTTAAAAAGGACGAATTAGCCAATTGCTGAAAGAGTTAAATGATTTCGAATTTTTTCTTTATTTTTTGATATTCAAATAATATTTTGTTATATGTTCAATCAGTAAATTTAAGCATACTGTGCTTTCCAATATTTGTTATTTCATCCCTTTTTTTTGTTTTTTCTTTTTAAATTAATTATTACATAGATTTGCATATTTAATTAATGAGTAATATTAGATAATGTAATAAGCAAGTGATGAAATAGCTAATAATGACATATATTCAATTATTAAACAAAAAATAATAAATAAAAGAACTAAATGATTTCGAATTTTTTTTTCGACATTCAAATAATCTTTTATTATGTGTTAATCAGTAGCTTTTACTATGCGACGTTTTTTAATATTTGTTATTATATTTCCTTTTTTTATTTTTAAAAATAATTATTGAAAAGATTTGCATATTTATTTGATAAAAGTATTAATTCCTAAAATTCGATTAAAATAAAAAGAGATTGTTATAATAAAGTTAGCTGAAAAAGTTCTTATTTGGTGAAAAAAAGGAAAAACGAAGAAATGTTAGGAAAAAGAAAATAAAAGAATAGGCAAAATTTAAAAAAGTTCAATTTAGAAGGCAAAAATAAAAGAGAATAGATGGAATATAAGCCAATATTTGAAGAATTAAATGATTTGAGTTTTTGTAAATATGAATTGCTTTTTCATATAATTCAAACAATATTTTATTAAATGTATATGAAAATTTTTTGTAAAAAATTATATGGATTATATGAAAATTTTTTGTAAAAAATTATATAGATTGAGAAAATTTTTTTATTAGAATAATTGGAAATTATAAATCACAAGAGAAAAGTAAAAAAAATGAATTGATCTAAAAATAAAAAATTAAAATTGATAAATTTTGGAATGTTGCAAAATTGTAATAAAAATGAAGACTTACTAAGTTTCTTATACTTACTGTAATACCGCAAAGGTTATAAATTATTAAAAAAAAGGAAAGAAAAAATTTAATAGTGAAAAGAGTAACTATTGAATTAAATATTGTTTAATTCAAATAATTTTATTTCAGGATATGTTATATTGATCAACTGCAATACTGTATATTTAGCAGTATGGGTTTCTCAAGGTAATGTGCATGAATTGAAGAAACATGAAAATATTACAAATATAAAGTAAGCTTTTCATCCATTCTAATGTATCAAAAATACAATGTAGGATAAGTTATTTAAATAAAATATTGGAAAATAAATTAATATACGATACCATCAATATCTTTCATTTTAT